CCAAAGGCTGATGGTTTGAATCCACCAGTTGTTTTGCTGGAGAAAGATGAGCAGCCTCCTCCTTGGTCAAGTACAGCTGCTGAAATCCTGTTGTAGGGTCAGGTATGGGTTGATTCTGATTCAGGGGCACATAACAACTTAGTGGGGATGAGGTGTTTGAAAGTGACAGCCGCGAGATATTTGGGGTTAGAGTAGCATTTCCCTTACCTCTACCCTTGTGATTTTAGTGGTAATTTTCAACCACCTGAAGAAAATACCACTTTTCATTAAGTTCACAAAAATGTAACGCCAGCTTTTACCAACTGTTTTCAGCAGTGCACTTACCTCATTTGGATGTTTCTGTTGCTAAAAGTTTGACAGCTCCAGAGAGATTGGGAATACTTTACCTATACTTTCCTGGGGGAAATCTAGATACTAAATGGGAATACTAAATACTAAATGGGAATCTAGATACTAAATGGAGATGGAATGATCTCTGATGTCCTTGTTAAGGAGTTGCACTGCCAACCCTCACAGCAAATGGTTCAAATCCACCAGCTGTTCCCCAGAAGAAAAACATGCACTCTCCTCCTGTGCAATTTACAGCCACTGAAAAAAAACCCACTGGAGGGAGGGTCAGCTAGGAGTCAGCTCCAACTTGACAGCACACAACTACAACAACAACACACAGAAACGAAGCTCACTGCAGATTATACCTGGGTTCTGTTTAGTCTACATGGGTCTGAGGGGACAGGAGGTGCTTTCTTTTGTTTGGTTTGCTTTTGCTTCTAAACCTGTATTTTGGCTTTAAGGCTTGCCTCTCGACAAGCCATTGCATGCAGAGATTACAAGGATCTGCAGCTATTTCATACTCGGTGCCATGGCCCGTTTCCGCCCTGTAAGAATGGTACGTGTGAGCCATCTTTCCAGGCTCAGGACACTTCATTCCTTTGGATTCTTAACTGCAGAAGCTGCTTACCTAAGAATTTGTAGCAAACCAAAGGGAATAAGTAGTGGGAGAAGATGCCAGAAAAGCAGCCTTTTACTTTGGACAGGAGCCCACGTGGCAGGACTGCAGCCATTGCCTTACTCACCAGTGCACATCAATCAACTCACTACCAAGAGAGTCCTTTGAGTTGTTAATTATATTTGCTCTGAATGATTTATCAAGTCCTACAGACCTGCCTGGCTATTCCAGAGTGTGCTTATAGGATTCCAACTCCTGGTCTCATCTAGCTGAGTTTCAGCCAGGGGTGTAGTCTAGAGTTTCATCTTCATCTCTCTCTTGCCCAACAAACCCTGAGGAAACCTCAGTAGGGTCAGACAGGATTTCAACTCCTGTAAACAGAGCTGGGTCTCAATGAGATTACATAAATCTGTGTGTTAATATTTAGGGTAATTCTAACACATATGGAAATGCATTTCCTACCCTCATTTTTTTTTTTATTTCATGACCAAAGCAAAAGGAAGAGATTTTGCTACTAATTTCTAGTTTTCATTTTTCCAAACTTAAGTAACGTAGCATGCAAAATTAGGACTGGCGCTAGGATGGGAGAAATGCATCCTAAAAGCAGATTCTGAGACCAATTTGCCTGGATTCAAATCCTGGCATCACATATTAATAGCAGCCTTGGCCAAGTTTGCTAATTTATCTGTATGTTAATTTCCTAGACTGTGAAATGAGTAAAATTGCCAGTATTGAGGGCCTGGCACATTGAATAAGTTGAAAAAATGTTTATTATTATTATTATTATTATTAGCCAGTTTTAATCTTTCTGTGTGATAGATAGATGTAAGAAAAAAGTAACAAAAGGATAAAACAGTCTTAAAGCCTAAGCTGTAATTTCAAACCCACTTCCTCCCACCACAAAAAGCCGGTAGAAGTGTAAGAGGAATTACTGCCACAGTAATCTTAGGTTCCCTCAATTATGATTTCTCTAATCTCCAATTATAAAATTACATGTTATGCTTCATTGACTACAGGATGAGTTACATTTCTGGTCACAATTTTCACGTGGTTCTTATTTATCCAAATGAAATTTGCAGATCTATAAAGGATTTATAAGTACACTGAAAAATCTCATGGACAAAGAATAATTTGTGAATTTCAACATCTGTACTCCCCTGCTCCATGGGCGTGACTTTTGGCAAACTGCAATCTCCTCATGCCTACTCCTGTCTCCTCGTCTGTAAAATGCGAAGGTTCTTTCCAGTTTAAGTGAACAAATAATAAAAAAGACACCATTTTCAGACTTATTCTTGTAAACTCTGAGACTACTTTCAATGTCTTAGCTGTTCTATGAGGTTGTCTTCTCTGAGCCACCAAAATAAAGGTTAACAGCTGCAGATTTACCTGTTATTAGAATAAGATAATTGGTTCTCTAGTACGGAGATGCATTGCACTGGGAAAATCTGCAGTTAGAGATCACTCCAAAAAATGTTTTGCGGTAGTTTTATTGTTATTATTATTATTATTACTTAATAAGAAGAGTAGTGATGTCAGTTTGAGGCCTAAGGTGTGCCTGATTCAGACCATGGTCTTTCTGATCACTTGCTTTGTATGCATCTGAGAGCTGGACAATAGAACAAGAATTAACACCTGTGAACTGGGGTGTTGGAGAAAAGCACTGAACATCTAATGGGCAGACAAAAGAACAAACAAAAATGTCTTAGAGAGGATGCAGCCAAGACTGTTCTTTGGAGGCTTTGCCTCACATAATTCAGGCATGTTGCTAAGAAGGGATATTCCTTGGAGAGGGACATGATCCTTGGAAGGGTGGAGGGTTGGAAAAGGAGGGGAAGACCCTCAACCAGTTGGATTGACACGGTGACTGCTGCAATGAGCTCTGGTGTGTCAGGAATTGTGAGGATAATACAGGGTAGGGGTTCAGTTCCACTGTTTATAGGGTCACTATGAGTCATACTCGATGACACCTACTAACAACAACAGTAAGGAGTGATAAAGCACGTGGCTCCTGTCTAAAAAGTCTGTAGTTCAAACTCATCATGTTTTATGGAAGAAAAGCTGTGACAGGGGGTTTCTTTAAGGACCACAGCATTGGAATCACTGTGGGGCAGCTCTGCTTTGGCCTGGAGGGCTGCTGTATGTTGGAATTGACTCTGTGAAAATGAGCTGCTTGTCTGCCTTTGTAAATCATGGTTATTCACCTTCTTGGGATATTGTATTTAAACGCCTTTTAGGTTTACGTGTGTGAGGCAATTTTCCAATCTTTCCTTTCAAATGTGTTGACATTCTAAACATTCTCCATGATTTTCTCCATGAATCTTTAAACACTATAAGGCGGGACTAATTTGTTTACAACTACTACCTCACAGAATTTTATATTCCTCTCTCAAGCATTTTGTAAGACAAATTGTGTACAAATGAAAACCCCTTAAGGAAGAAGATATTGGAAAACATCTAAAGAGACGTTGTTAAAATGAACAATTAAAGTGTATTTCTGTCACTGTCTTTGACAAGTTGATCATTTGAATCTAAACATATTTCAGAGATTATCTTATTTATGTGTGAAACACATGATTTTTAAGATCCATGCTGCTTACAATATGGAACAATACATAAATCCCAACTGTACACAAGGGGGTTAATCTGTTATAAAGAACTTAAAAGTATAAAATATGAAGGGAACACTTTGCTATGTTCTTATAAACAACAAATATGATGCCATCAACAACTCTTAGATAATCACATGTGCAAAAACATTTCAGAAATTATAAAGTGCCATTACATTTGCTGCAGGAGTTTAAATGATTTACCTTAATTGAACTGATATTTTCTTTTGATCGTATGGTGTATGATTCAAGGAGATGCTTCCCTGCCTCTCACTTTATTTCTTATACTGGATGATTGAAAAAGATCTCACTTGTTTTCAAAAAATCATAGCTCGTTATTCTGTTTACTACAATATTAGGCAGAGTATTTTATATGGAAAACCATCATCATTTATCTGATGTTCAATCTGATTTCTAGAGATTTGATCCGAAAGACGTTCTTTAGGAGTTAACTGCTTTGAAAAATGAGAAGCATCTAACTCAGCTTTTCCTCCTGGGCTAAGAAAATGAGAACCAAAAAGAAAAATGCAATAGCATTGGTCAAATCATTGAAGGTAAAGCACTCATTGTCTTTAGTGGTGATACATTTTTTTTAATTCTTTCAGCATTTCCAATCTTTAAAGAAAATGATGAAACAAGCTGGGAATGTTGCCCGTTCTATAACTTGATAATGGCTAATATGGAAATGAAACAATACTAAATGGAAAACACTCTTCTCAGAAACGAAATGTGTTGACGCATATACGTCACTCAACTATGAGACTTGCAGAAGGAAGAGGTTGTTTATAGTAGTCTGTACTCCATCTGTTCAACTGAACAAATAGGACTATGATTTTTGCTACATAAGTAAAGAAAGATCTACTTTGAGATTGCTGCTGCTGTCTGCTGAACATAATACAGTGTGATGTACGGCATGAATAATAAATGAATCAAAACTTTATAGATAGATTAAAATATACTCTGACTCCTACATGCCTTATTACTTTTCAGACAAGTATTTCTAGTTCAACTTACTAGAAAACTAAAAAAAAAAAACAAACCAAAAAACAACTGGAGAAAAATTTTGAAATATAGATTCATATAAGAACTTCAGCACCATTCAAAAATACACATTTTTAGGGATAAAAACCTCTAAAACTGTTGTTGTTGTTGTTATGTGCCGTCGAGTTGCTTACGACTCATAGCGACCCTATGTACAACAGCCCTAAACTCTGCTCTGTCCTGTGCCAATCGCACTGTCTCTGACACTCCTATCCCAATTATCCCAGTCACTGAATCAATCCACCTCATAGAGGGCCTTCCTCTCCTGCACCATCCCTCCACTCTCCCAAGTATGATGTCCCTCTCCAAGGACCGGTCTCTCCTCACAACATGTCCAAAGTATGTATCGAAATAAATTTTAATTCAAACTCAAAAGTTAGAGAAACAATCAGTTTTCATTTACTTACATGTTGGCTTTGCTGTTGGAAGAAATTTTGTCCGGGTAATAGCCAAAATGATGAAGATAATGACAGGCCATAAAATCAAGACTAGAGTCCAAAGCTGTAAAATAAATATAGGGGGAAAAATTGTTAATCATAGTGTTGCCAGGAAATGAAAAGATGAATTACATTGGGAAAAATCTGCTGTCAGGAACCTCTCCAGAGTACTAAAAAGCAATAATGTCAGTCTAGAGACTAAGGTGTACCAAATCCAGGCCATAGTCTTCACAAGTACTTGCTATGCATCAGAGAGCTGGACAATGACTAAGGATGACAGAAGAAGAATTTATGCCTTTGAATTGAGGTACTGAAGTTGAGCCTTGAACATACATACCATGGACTGCCAAGAAAACAAGCAAGTCTGTGTTGGAGAGGATGAAACAAAGTTTTTCCTTGGAGACTAGGATTCTGAATCTCCAGCTCACATACTTTGGGCATGTGGCCAGGAGAGACCTTTCCTTGGAGGACATCATGCTTGGAAGGGTGGAAGGTCAGCGCAGGAGAGGAAGATCTTGGATGAGATGGATTGATACAATGACTGGGGGCAATGGAGGTTGGTGTGTCGGAATCAGTGAGACTGGCTCGGGACATGGCAGGCTTCAGAGCTGCTGTGCATAGGGTTGCTATGGGTCTCAGGCGACTCGACGGCACATAACAACAACAGGGCTGAAACTAAAATCTTACTACTAAAAGGGGTTTCATACTATAATATTCATTCATAAGCTGGATATTTGAGTGTTTGCAAAACTTACTAATAAAACAACCACAAGAAATCTTTACGATGTAAGAGACTTCTAAGAGAGCACAAGAATGACTTCCAGGCTTAAAACCTTGAAACGGTCATCTGGAATTCTCTTTCTATAAAGAGAACTCTGTTGGTCTAATAGTAAGGAGCTCTGTTGCCATGCCAAAGGAACATGGTTCGAGTCCACCAACTGTTCCACAGGAGAAAGATGGGCAATCACCTCACATGTGATTTACTGCCTCTGAAAACCCACTGGAGGGTCACCTGTGAGTCAGTTCCAGCTTGAAGGTGCACAACAATAGCAACTCATCTATCAAGACTTTGTCAAGAATGGTTTTCTTAGAATTGACATCTATTTGGCCAGTTTCTTCATTATCAATCTTTCCAGTTCTCCAATTGTGTGTCGGGTAAGGTTCAACATTCGAAACAGAACCTACAAAGCCCAGTAGAATTCTCATCTATACTTATCCAACCACTTTCATTGTCATCTCTCTGCCACCCACAATCAATTCAATGACTTATAGTGACCCTCCATCAGGATTCTAAGGTTGTAAATCTTAAAAGTAGGAGACCAACCTTCTTTCCCTTCTTTCTTTTGCAAGAAGCTGGTAGATTTGAAAAGCTAACCTTTCAGTTAGCAACCCAGTATCTTATGGGCTCTGCCACCGTGAGGGCTTAGCTTTTTACAATCAGTCATAAAAAAAAAGGTGTCAGTAAATACTGTAGGACAAATAAATTACTGAATAAATATTTGCATGAATAAATGAATTAAAAGTTAATTGAGCCAGTTCATGTAAACAAGAAAGTGCTGTACAACTCTCCTATGTTGTTTGCTGTCAAAGAGTGACACTTATACAACTTAACAAAAACTAGCTGGCCTTTCCTTCACCATGCTCACAACTATTGCTGTGGGTGAGTTCACTGCTGCATTGTGTCAATTCATCTTTTTCAAGGAGGCTCTCCCTCTTTCTCAGTGACCCTCAGCCTGGCAGGATTTCCTTCTCTGGGCACTGGCCCCTTCTGAAAACTTGTTCAAAGGGTGTGAGACAATGTCTCACCATCTTCATTTCTAAGGAACATTCTGGTTTCATTTTTTTTCCAAGACACAGTTGTTTGTTCTTCTGACTGTCCATGACATATACGTTATTCTTTGCTAACACTGTAATTTTAATGGGTCAATTCTTCTTTGTTCTTCTTTATTTAGTATCCAGTTTTCACATACAGATGAAGCTATTGAAGATACCATGGCTTGGCCCAGGCGCACCTTAGTCCTCAAAGTGATTTCCTTGCTTTTTAACACCAGCTCTCCCTATACCACTATAATGTCCCCTGTCTGCTTCTCCCACAAGCATAATACATGATCATCATCAACGGTTTCTGTGTCTGATTCTGAAGTACTTGGGAGATCCTTTAAGTCAGTGTCTTATTCATCCCTGCATTTTCACTTTGTGGCATAAATAGTTGCTCCCAGAATGTATATTGTGTTGAACTTTCAATACAAAATTTCATTTGGAGGCAGTTCAGGTAGACATGATTCCATTTGTAAGTCACTTTGCTTAGTACTTTGTATACCTATGAAATTGGTTCCTAGCAGTGAAAAATACACAGTTACACAAAGATTCACTGCGGCACGTGGCTACAGTGCACCAAGCAAACCACATAGAATGAATCCTGCCTGTAGTTAATAAAGTTAAACTTGGAACTATGTTTCTGCCTGGTTACTGCAGTCAGAACTCTTCTCATTCCTTCCCACCTTTTCAGGCATAATGTGCTTCTGCCAAATAGCAAATTTTCTGCCTGGGGCTCTTCATTCCTCCAAGACAATCCAAACCCGTCCAATTATTGATCTTTAAGTAACTCCTCTTCTAAATTCTCTACTAAATTCTCCACTAACAGCGCTGTTCTCATTGCTGATAAAGGCCTGCCACGAGCCCCTTGCCCTTTGTGTAGAAGGGCAAGTTTGAAGAAACAGAAGAAATTGACCGGGGAGCTCAGGAATGCTAAGACGTTTGCTTTTATTGAAGCTGGCAAGCATCCAGACAGAACGCAGGGCTTTTCAAACATTGGTAGGATGTTTGCAGCATATACAATCACCTGGGTATCTTATAAAAATGCAGATTCACATTCAGTAGTCTGAGGCAGGACCTGAAAGTCTGCATTTCTAAAAAGGTTCCAAATAATGCTGCTGATGTTGCTGGTCCATGGGCCATATTTGGGGTAAATTTAGACTAGGAAATTTGAAAAAAGCCCTGAATAGTTCTGTTGGAATATGCTTAGAGATTATCTAACTGTGGATTTTCTTTACCTGGAGAGAATCTAAGGCATTGTTAAATACCTTCGGGGGGGGGGGGGGAGCGCATTTTTGTTTTCACCAGCTTGTAATTGAAATGTAGCATTTCCATTAGTGTTGACTGCAGCCAACAAGCCAGTGTTATTAGAAGTGTCTGTGACTGTCATCAGTAGGAATTACAGTTCCTTCCAAATCACGTTGGAGCTGCTGCAGGTGGTTCAAAGTGCTGTTTACACTCATCACTACATGAAAATTACAGTGGTATGGGGCCCCCCAGCAGATCTTTTATTTCGTGCTCTATAAACATATACATAGTACCATATCACAAATCAGCTTTTTAAAGCTTTTATAGTGGAATCATTCATTGTTTGGCTGCTTTTATTTATAATTGTTTGCTTTATTTTATTACTTGAAAAAGATTATTCTTAGAAAGCCCAGAGACTTCATCATATTGCCAAGTAGGTCCATGGCACAGATAAGACTAGCAACCCACCACGGAATCCAGCCTTTTTTTTAAATTCCCTGGATTGCTGAATAATAGTGTAACTTGTTTTAAGTTTCAAACACATTGAGAAGTAGAGGGGGAGACAAGGACCTGAATCTCAAGATATAGAAGTGAAGATTTTTTTATACATTGAGGCACTCTTGCTGCTCTTGCTCTGAGGAATAAGATAGGAACCATTCCAGAAAATGTATTAGAAAAACACAAAGGTTATAGAAATATATAGACAGGAATGGATATAGATTTACTTGTCTATGTAGCTTTTAGAAGTATCTGAAGCTCTTTTCATGCATCTGGAGATCTCTTTTATCTTCCTTCGAATTTGTTTTAATATTCTACAAATATTAGTGAGACTGGCTGAGGACAAGAAAGGGGTCAGATCTGTTGGACATAGGGTCACTATGGGTCACAGGCAACTGAAGTCATATAACAACAACATATCATATTGTTTGGTTTTTGGTGTGGTTTTTTTTTGTTTGTTTGTTTTTTATTTTTTTATTTAAGCCTCTTTGTTTAGAGTCAACAAGACCTTGTGGAGGGCCTTTGAATTTAAAAGTCAGTTGTTATTCTATTTTGGGGGAATATTCTAAGTGGTACAGCACTCTTCTGTCAATTTGTTGTACTTAGATAGCCTGGTACAGCACTCTTCTGTCAATTTGTTGTACTGAGATAGCCTGGGGTTCCTGTGATGCTGAATCTTGGGCCACTGGGGTGTCAAATGCCATAACAGTTACCCATGGTGGACAGTATTTGGTGGAGCTCCCAGCTGAAGACAGGTTTGGAAGCAGGAGTGGCATCTACATCCTAAACAACATGCCTCTGGAAACTCTATGAACTTGGAGAAAGGAGGATAGCTATAGAAAGGTTTCAGGTCTTTTGTTCATAGGGTCACTATGAGCCATGCTCAACTCAATGGCAATCAACAACAACAGCAACAATGAAATATAAGGTGTCTGGTGCCTAGAGGGTGAAAAGTTAGAAGCCAAGTCAATGTGCTCAACTGTTAAGAAAAAAGTTAGTATTTTGAATTCACTCAGAGGTGCCTCAGAAGAAAATGCTGGTAACCTGTTTCCTAAAAAGGAGCCATTGGGACTCCAGTGGAACCCAGTTCTGCTTTGACAAATCAGAACTAACTCCGTAACAACTTGTTGGCTATTACTCTATCTTAAGTTTATGAGACATTGAAAAATTACAGCCTATACTATGAAGACAGAGCTCTGGTGGCCTAGTGACAAAAAGCTGTGCTGCAATCCCAAAGGCATATGGTTCGAGGCCACCAGGTGCTCTGCATTAAAAGGATGGACAATCTCTTTCCATGCGTTTAACTGCCTTTGAAAAGTCAATGAAGTGTCAACTATGGGTCAGTTCTGACTCTATGATATACAACAACAACACAACAACAACTTCAAAGATACTGAATATAAGGTACTAGTTTTATTTTTGATGGCTATGAAAAGTAAGGTTAATGCTTTAATGTCTGTAGATTGACTGGTTTTATATTTGAGGACATAGGTATTCTTTTTA